AAATGCTTTCTTTGCTTTGACATGAATTAGAGTCTGTGAGGAAGTAGTTGCAGAGCAGTTATATGTCTTACTGAACAAATCCCAAATCCACGAATTTTTTCGAAGAATTCAGTCAAGTATTTAATGAGAGTTTGGGGACTCGTTTGATATAATTATCATCTGACTGTACGTCGGGTACTCGGAGATTCGAGTGTCGAGTAATCGCGTACCAGGAACTGCATCTTCAAATCATTTGCTAAGCAACTTAATTAATGTTTTTTTCAAATCCACTGTTGGAATTAAATACTCAATTTCACTTATTCAAAAATTTTGTTATGTGATATGCAAACTGTAAAGGACAATTTTATGACGTGATATTTGAGGGTCACGTTGATTCTATGAAATTCAATTAGTTTCTCGTTATTTTCGCACTTCCGCTCTTGAGTTTTACAACTTTGGAACTAGATCCTAAACCATGTTTAAATATTTTGCATTCTCTTCCTTTTTTGCTGCCTCAAAGGTGCTTTCAAAGGCGCTAAAGCTAAGCAATTTCTCAATGTACTTTAGCAAAGAAATTAGATTTTAGGTGTTTATCGGAAACATTTGAAGTGCCGAAGTATTTGAAAAAAATTTTGAACGGCAAGAATATCTCAAAAAAAATTTTGACAACATCACGCGCGTGAAAATTATCATATTATGCATCAACAATTAGGAAGTAAATTAATTTTTATATGCTCATTCTAACTTTCGCCCTTTTTTGAAGTAGGAGAAAAGTCTGTGTTCCTAGGCATTATTCAAGAGCAAAACAAGATTGTTGATTACACGCGCACGGGATTTGTCAATTGAATAGCAATCAGTTGAGCATTAGAATTTCAATAAATTTCTAAGCCACCATAGTGATAATTGTTCTTCATGAAGCGCAAAAATGTTCTCATCCTGTTTTTTACTTATGAGCTATCTAATAATTGGAATGTACACTTTGTTCCTTGACTTATCCTGTAAGCCGTAAGACTGCTCACTATCACTAGTTCTGCACAAAAAAAAACCCACTTCTGCTTTCGAGGTTTTCAGCTCCGCGTGAGATATGAACGTCACTAATCGATGAATGTTAGCAGACACTTGCAATGCTCCATTTTTTATATGAATTGCTATAAAAAGTGGGTTGAACTCTAATGCATTGTAACGCATGGGTATAAAACGGCTGCGGGAGCAAAACAAGGCAGTAACAATGATCAACGCCATCTTATTCATATGGCAGGTGGG